TTGGGTATTTTTCAATTTTTGGCGTTTTCTTAAAATGGCCGTAACTTGAGAAATTAAAGTCGGAATCAGCTCAAACTTTCTACGTAGCATAAGGACGTCAATATGTATCAGAAAATGTAATAAAAATTCGGGGTGATTTCGGAGCCATTTTTTGGAAAAAACCATGGGCTATGTTAAGAGATCGTCATCTACTAATGGCTCTAATAGTTGGCTGTGGATTGCAAGCCATTCAACAACTCTCTGGAATTAATACAGTAAATTTAGCAGTACATTTTATTAGCCTTGGGTATTTTTCAAAAATTGGCTCAAAAAATGCTCATAACTCAAAATTTGATTGTCAGAATCAGCTCAAACTTTCTACATAGCATAGGGACATCAATATGTACGTGTATTTAAAATTTAATAAAAATTCTCTCTCTATTCTCTCTAGTCATCTCCTCCACAATTCTCTACTGATCACAGAACTGATGACATTAATGCCCTCCTCAATGTCATAGCGAGTGCTGATGAGTTTATTTACATTGCTGTAATGGACTATGAACCAGCCATTGTCTATAGCTACCCTAAAAAGTGAGAGAGGATTGTTTCTTAATAAAACAAAGTTTACCGTAAAAGTGTTTTTTTTGAGCAAATTATATCTTGCGAAATCTACTTAATTTCTTATTTACGGATTTTAATTTTGCGAATTCTACCATGTGCCATGTGGGTACCGTATAATATTGATTTTTGTGGATTTTATTTTCGTTGATCAGGAAGGAATTTGCAAAATTTGTAACCCTTGAAAAAACACCTGATACGTTGGACTAAAATCCTCAAAATAAATTGTTGATTATTATATTAATAATTTATATTATATTTTATTTATATTATATTAGGTACTGGCCGGTGATAGATGATGCATTGCGTACAGCAGCTTATGAGAAAGGGATTGAGGTACGTCTGCTGGGCAGTCACTGGGAGCACTCTCCTTGTGACATGAGGAGCTTTCTTGAGAGTCTGGGGTCTTGGAATGTTACCGGACCCAAGAATGGAAGCATAAAAACAGTGAGTATTACATGTACATTATGCTACCGTATAGCTGGTTTTTTCAAGGATAATAAATTTCGTGTATTTTTATGATTCGCGAAATTAAATTCCTTAAAAATCAATTTAATATCTTACAAGATGGCAGAATAGTAAATATTTCCAAAAATTAATTTTTTGAACTTCTGGATGCAGGTCATTTGTGAAAATTATTAGTCTCAAAAAACGCTATCTGAAAACAGTTAATTAAAAAGGGTATGTTATTAAAAGTGTAAAGAACATGAAAATTATCAATTTAAAATCCTCTTAATACACACAATAATGCAGGTGGCTTTTGAATTACCACTTGATGGTAGTAAGTAAACCTCTATAATGAATCTAATCTAAAAAACAACAAAAGAAAAAATTTTCTGAATTCTTTAAACTTAATGCCAAAAGCACTCAAAAACAGGTCATAAAGTCATTTCTACTTGACATAAATCTCATAATAGCTGACAGGAGTGTCTTCCTTATCAGTTCCCTCATCTCCACAGACCCTCAACTCAATATAGTCAGTAGTGGTAGCGTTACCATAGTCTCTGTGAAACCATGGGATACCAGGAATATCACAACAAGCTGCTTCATGAGAACTACATCCTTGGCCATCCC